TCAACGCCCCAGAAATGCCCACGGAGCATTGAGCGAACCTGTAGTTCCGCCTCGCTTTTACCCAGTCATTCTTTGGAGTCCGCTATCTTCCGCAAGATCACTCCGGCAATCCTGATTCCATGTTTGTTGCGATACTACAGCGAACACATCAAGGAAGAGAATGGAGGCGAACTTCCCGAGCGAATCCAATATGACTACCTCAATCGTCGTGCCAAGAGCTTCCCATGGGGCAATTACGTAAGACCTATTTCATCTGCGTTCTCGTCCCTGACTTGTTAGAGTAGTCAATTGATAGAAATGCCTTCTTCCTCTAATGCAGACGCTCTTCTATAACCCAAAGACTAACATGCCTCCCCCAGAGTAAACCCCGCTCCAAGTTGTATGCTCAATGACAATTCTACCCCTCCCATATTCCTCCCGCTTTTTGCATCCCTCTTTCGAGGGATCTGTTTGACTTGACGATAACTAGCTCACTCCGAAATTAAACACAGTTTCTGAGATCAGATATTCTCATGAGAATCGCTCGAAGTGCCTCAGTAGTCTGCCAAAGGCTTACCTCGTTATCTTAGTGTCAAAGATCAATTGTGACCCAGCAAAACTGGTGAGGGAGACACTTCCTCTAATGTCTTCCTTGTCCAAAACCTGGTCCAAATGTCCCTTCGCAGTATCGAGAGATAATAGATCCTCTCTCACCGCACGCAAAGAGCCCAAAATAATAGGATCCCAGTATATCCACCCCCCCTGCTTTGGTCCACGCACCCCCTTGAGAGCTTAAGTGGTTTTGGTCAAGCCTTGAGCCAAATTTGACAAAGTCACTCGAAGCTCGGGATCGACTCCCCAGGAGCGAGGGATCGGTTGGAACATTGAAACGTTGGTTTGTGTTTGGCTCGATTTTCAATTAAAAAAGCAACGGTATTTGCATTTACATGCTTCACAATCCCGTTCAAATCATTGACAAATTCCAAGCTCATAGGGGCGAGAAGGAGTTACAAAAACATTGAACAAAGAGTCAGGCCGAGCAGTGAGATAGACAATGATGTATGTACATGATGTTAAATAGATTAAGAAACTTCTCTAGAGTCGGGTTGTGTGAAGAGAGTGAGTTGTTATGAATCAGGTCAATCAAAAAATGAAGTGTGTTTAAAAGTGAAGTTTGTTTTTGGTTTGGCACGAAAAGATCTTGAAGCTAGATCAATGATTTAGGAAAGCTTTTAGTTTGGCACAAAACGATCTCGAAGTTAGATCAATCACTTCGGAAACAATCAGATATGTATATATGTTATTGAACTAGTCATCCTATAGCATTGTATGCAATTTCTACAACTTCAGTTGGTATGAAAGCATGAATTTTTGTATTTTTAAACCGGTGTAACTGTAGAATGTCATTTTCATGAAGGCTGGCTTGTTGACGTTGAAGGGCGAAGTGGGCATGTGCTTCGATTGTGACCGGTACCAGTCTGGTGACAAACTCCACATTTATGACCGTTTGTTTGTTTGTTGTATCGCTCAAAATTTGAGTCAAGGCGTTTCTTTTTGTTTAAAGCTCCTCGAGGTCTCCCGCGTGTCTTGATTGGTGCTGGCTCAATGACAGTGGGGGATGGAGTTTCAAGTATATTAGCCAGACTTTCCTCAACATGTCGCTGTTGGTGAGGAGGTAAGATTTGATGTCGATCCTTGATGTTCTGTAGAATATCATCCAGCCCGGGTGGTTGGCGCTCAAGACGATCGGGTACACTTCGTTTCAGATGCCAGTGTACATGAAAATGCTCTGGAGAAAGTTGACCACCTGAATTCAATAGCTGCTTTATAAAATGAGCACAAGGAAGTCCCATCGAGGTGGAAAATACATGTGAGCAGGAAGATGAGTCCTCTAACGAGAGTGACTTTTGATATTGTCTGAAGACCTGTGTCGGATCAGATGAATACATACATGAGTCCTCAGCTGATGGTGACTAAACAAACTGGATTAGGTGAGAGTTGAGAGTTAATTACCTCCAGTAATGCATACTGAGAAATATGTCGATTGACGTGATCCCAAAACTTTGGTCTCAGTTGTGTCAATACATGAGTGCGATCATAATCGATTTTGTGAAAGATGCGGTTGCGTTGTTGTTGACAAGCTAGTAATAGCTTTCCGTAGACTGTTTCCAAGTCGCTGTTTGTGTTAGGTATCCAGGCTTTAACATTGGCATGTCCTCCCTCAATTCGAGATGTGACTGTATGACCAAAACGAGGAACATCTTTGGTCCAAGCAAGTACAAATTTCTCCCTATGTCCAATCCAAGTTTTAAAGATGTAGTCGTAAGCTTTGGTAGGGATAGTAGTTTTGAGTTTTTCTAGATTCTGATCAAATATATTGGGGGTTATTGAATTGCACAACTTGTTCCACTGAACCTCAAACTTTTCCCAGTCCAGGGTTGAGAAGCAGGTCTTGACATTCGATAAGATGTTGTTCCAGATGTGCCACTTGCAAAGTAAGTTTTTTGAATCAGGAAAGACTTCGTTGATTGCATTGATGAGAGCTAGCTCTCGATCTGTGACTACAGCTTTGAACTTTAAAAGTTGTGGTCCGTAGCAATCCCTCAACTGCTTCAAAGCCCATACATAGTTTTCTTTACTTTCATTCTGCATGAAACAGTAGCCTAAAGACAGAGACTGGTGGGTTGAAGAGGCACCCATGATATGTAGGAGCGGAATCTTGGCTCTAAATCAAGACAGGAGTTTCAAAAGTCAGTAAAAATTTGTTAGACGGCTTGGAAGGATTGACATTACCTGTTTGTATTGTAAGTAGAATCCATCAAAAGAATGTCAGTTGTGCCAAATTCCTCAGCCGCCGATACACAGACAGTTGGTGCATAGAATAATCGTAGTAATTGACCGTCATCGTTTTGTACATATCGGTGGAAGACATTTGTGGCTTGAAGGGTATCTAGCAGGGCTTCAAGTGATGTACGTCCTTGCAGTAAGTCATTACGCTTTCTTTTCTTTATGTTATAGATGTCCTGTGCGGTGGTGAGATTACTAGGGTCGGAAGCCTTCAGTGTACTCAGTATCACTCGTGGAGGTGCCCCACCACGATCCATTGCTAAGACATTCTCGTGTTGTGTGTCCGTCAGTCTTCGTTCAGCGGGTATCTCAGAGAGTGTTGTTGAACGTTCATGATTATGTGTATTATTGATGATTTTGATTGTCCACTGAAGACCTTCAATCCGTAAAAGCTGAGCATACCACGGACAACCTAGAAGGCGACTCGATGTCATGCGAACTCGGGTGTCCAACTGTTTTTGATTACCACTATGTGCGCAGACCAAGCGAATCTTTCGAACACATTGCTGAGAATCTTTCTTGGACCCAGCCTTCTTGAGAGAGTATCCAGCATTCCTAGCACATGTCTGTATGGCACTTTCGGCTTCCTCTAGAGACGAATAGGCTTGAAGTAAAACACTGAAATCCATAGAGAGACTTTTGGCGGTGAGAAAAGTTGAAGGGACTAAGTAGCATGTGTGTGAAATTTTATGCAGATACGGTACACTGGATCAAGACAGATTGAGTTATGTGGCCTAAGGCTTGACCAAAACCACTTAAGCTCTCAAGGGGGTGCGTGGACCAAAGCAGGGGGGGTGGATATACTGGGATCCTATTTTTTTATTTTATAATTTACTTTTTACTTGAATTTTTATTAGATAACAACTTTTTTTGCTCTTTTTTTTTCTTTGAGCAGGACCTTACATCAGCTGAGCTCACAATCACTTCAATGAACTAGATTAAAAGTTATTTTTCGTTTCTGTTTAAGTTTCTTTTCTTTTCGCCAATATCTTTTTCTTTTTTCTTTTTTCTTTTTTTCTTTTCTTTTTTTAGTTACTTTTTTTGGAGTTTAGAGAGGAGAGGGTGATGTTGGATGTATTGAGGGCACGGGGAAATCGTATACAGGATGGAATAAGAGGGACGAGTAGAGTCCATGCATACATTTACGAACGACATTTGCTATTGAAAAATACAACCGGCTGGGGAATCCTTTCTCTACTACGATTTCAGGAGTGTTTTTGACATCAATAAACACTGATCTTCAACTTTTGTAATCACATGAATTTATCATTATAAAACCAGCGAAACCGTGAAAACCGAATGCCGGCCTCAAATCATATCTTATCATATTTATCATTTTATTATCCTATTTCATAACGACATCATTTCAAGGCGGTCTTATCGATTTCAAGGGACAAGGAACATATGGAACTTACCCGAGAATAGAAAGACGCCCTGTTCCGAATTGAAAAGGGGAGAAAGGACCCGTTATCACGTTACCAATAATCAAAATAATCGGCCGACTATACCACGACTTTTGTGAGCCTACTAGCGTCTGTTAGGCTAGTAGAGTCAATAAAAAGGTTGTAGAAAGTCTGATAACTTCTACTAAAGTCGTGTAGATCAAGATCTACAAGTGTGAACGGGTATAGACGTGGGCGTAAGAGCTTTACTTGCAATAAACAAGTAAAGACTGCAGTTAGTTGACCTTTAAACAAAGGCTTTAGCCCAGGGATTTTGGGTTAATTATTGTCTTTACAATAATTAAAAAGAAGAGCAACTGACGCGCAGTTCTCAATCCTAATTTGATCCTCTTCTATTCTAAGAAAGGTCAAAGAAGGTGGTGTTAAGGTCTATTATAACACCGGGAACTTTACACTCTGACTGATAGAGATTTCCCCGTAGATTTAGAGTTTCTTATATCAGATGAATCCCAAATCTGATATGAGCAATACTCAAGGACTACTTCCTTACAAGTAATTCCACCAAATGGATATTACCAGAAATACTGATTATGGAGTCTAATCAGAAACAAAGTTGAATGAGCACTCAGAATAAGCAACAAGACACAAGGTTTGAGTTTCAAGGTTGGTAGAATCAGGCCTTTAAAGTTTGGTTATTGAAAAGCAAAGTTTAAAGGTTCTAGGAAGATGAATAAAAGCAAAGTTGTGTAGTTGTTGAATAATAATGTGATGATGTTCCTCTTCTCGATTTGGTTGGATTTCCAGGGTTTATATAGTGTGAACCTTGGAAATCTTTGGACTACAAGTGCGCACAAATTGTGGTTCTATGGTTAGGTTAATTACAGTAAGACAGTTACTATTGGATTATAAGTATATTTCACTTGTTACATATGTGTTACGGCTGTGAAATATATGTAGCTTTGGTTTGTATCAAAGTTATGTATGTTCACACCCTTTGATGTAAGTTCTGCACATGTTACATATGCTAAATCATATGTAACTTGACTCTTGAAACTGAGCCTTGAGTTGTGATTGCTATTTTTAAGGTTTTTATTATAATACGTCGCCCATTGGTACTCTGGTTTAGTACTCAGGGCTGACATTCCCCACCACCAGAAGAGGTC